TGATTATTTTTTTTAACACTGGCTAAATCTGGAAAAATGGGTTAAACTAACTCAAAATAGACATTAGATTAATGGTATATCATTTTCGAAGGTACTTGTTTGGTAACCAAATCAAAGAGCTGCCACCAGGAGTCTTTTCCATGAATACCAAGTTGACTCACCTGTAAGTAAGCCACAACAGGTTTATTTCAACTGTATTAATTCAATGAAATGCATTTATCACAAGACTTTAACAACATCCATTATTAAAAAGTACTACTACCTAGATCACTGCTCCATGTTTAACTTGCAGTGATGATTATTTTTTTTTTTAACATTGACTAAATCTTAAAAAATGGGTTAAACTAACTCAAAATAGACATTAGATTAAGGGTATATCCTTTTTGAAGGTACTTGTTTGGTAACCAAATCAAAGAGCTGCCACCAGACGTCTTCGCTATGAATACCAAGTTGACTGGCCTGTAAGTAAGCCATAACAGATTTATATTCGAAATTATTCAAACTGTATTAATTCAATGAAATGCATTTATCACAACACTTTAACAACATCCATTATTAAAAAGTACTACTACCTAGATCACTGCTCCATGTTTAACCTGCAGTGATGATTTTTTTTTAACACTAGTTGAATCTGGAAAAATAGGTTAAAACTAACTCAAAATAGACATCATATTAAGGGTATATCCTTCTCGAAGGTACTTGTATGATAACCAAATCAAAGAGCTGCCACCAGGAGTCTTCGCCATGAATACCAAGTTGACTCGCCTGTAAGTAGGCCATAACAGGTTTATATTAGAAATTATTCAACCTTTATTATTTCAAAAAACTCAGCATTCGAAGAGAAGGTTTTTAATACCATCACCTCATCAAAAGACTTATTGAATCCATTGGAGTGCAAAGTAATGGTGATGTCAACAACTAAGTCTTAAAAGCTTCATTTTTCGATGCCGCATAAAATCTAAGTGTGTTATCTACAAAAAGGTAATCGAGAGCAACACAAGACGTTAAACTGACCAGCCTATATACATTGGTAAGGACTTGTGTCTACTCTTTTCTCAGTCGCACATCAGGTTTAGCACCTAGAATCCATCTTCCCCGATTCAAAAATAGATAAGTCCAAAGTTCGTCCACACCCCTCCCTTTACCCCTCTTTGACCCTTCATAACCTTTCACTATCTGCCTGGTACACGGAACTATAAAATTGTCATGGCTTGAACCTGTAAGCCGAGTTCAAACCTAGCTTCTGGCAAAACTGAGGCAAAACAACACGTGGTCGACTGCGTCAAATTAGCAAGACAGGTAAGAACCTGCGGAACTGGTACAACTGAACACAAACAAGAGGCAAGAATCAAAATAGTTATGGTGATGTGAACATATTCATTTATAAACAACACTATTGGCTGGGTTTCTGTTTCATGTTTAACTTAAGGCATATATCATTATAAACGCTGTTTTAATCTGGAAATCTGGGTCTTAATAGCCCAGAATAGACTACAGATTAAAAAGAATGTATCCTTCTACATTCAATCTCTTCACTCTCATGACAACTTTGTACAACCCTTCATCGTGGTGCACTGACAGTGGCATAGTCGA